CATGCAATCTGTTCCCCACTTTTAGACATTAGGTTATGTCCAGTCTAATCTTCTCAAAATAGTGTTTCGTTGAATACCTCTGCACAATTATGTGTATATCTATATAACAGATTCCTAAAAATGGAATTAATGGTTAAAAGGAATATACATTTGTAATTTCGATCACATCATCAAATTGTTCTCTAAGAGCTTGTATGTTGGTGGATTCTTAAAGCTTTAAAAGCAACACACATATCCAGCACAGACATCACTAGATATTTTGTGTATATTATTTATAGTTGATGATACATTATTCTTCAGCTTGTGATCTCTATCATTTTGTGTGTCTCAGTTGCTTGTGATTTATCTATAATTTTAGTGTGTACTATATTTTTCCTTTAAGACTTTTTTTTTTTTAGAACAGTTTCAGGTTCACAGAAAAATTGAGAGGAAGGTGCAGAGGTTTCCCACATGCCCCCTGTTTCCACTGTGCACAACCTCCCCCATTATTAACATCTGCCACCAGAGTGGTACATCTGTTACAACTAATGAACCTATGTTGATAATCACCCCAAATCCTTAGTTTGCATTAGGGTTCATTCTTGGTGGTGTACATTCTGTGTTTGGACAGACATATAATGATATATAGCCATCGTTATAGTATCATAAAGAACATTTTCACTGCCCTAAAAATACCCTGTGCTCCACCTGTTCATTCCCCACACTCCCTAACTCCTGACAATCACTGATTTTTTTTTTTACTGTCTTCATAGTTTTGCCTTTTCCAGAATGTCATGTAGTTAGAATAGTATACTACAGTGTTTTCAGATTGGCTTCTTTCACTTAGTGATATGCATTTAAGTTTCTTCCATGTCTATTCATGGCCTGGTAGCTCACTTTTTTTTTTTTTTTTTTCTTTTTTTTATCCTCACCTGAGGACATTTTTTGTTCAGGTAGAGTGGGAGGGAGAGCGAGGAAGAGAGAGAGAGAGAGAGAGAGAGAAACATTGATGTGAAAGGGACACATCGAGTGGCTGCCACCCGCACGACCGACCAGGGCCGGGGACAAACTTGCAACCAAGGTACATGCCCTTAGCGAGAACCAAACCCGGGTCTCTTGGGACCGCAGGCTGATGCTCTAACCGCTGAGCCAAACCGGCCAGGGCGCTCATTTCTTTTTAGTACTGAGTAATAATTCCATTCTTTGGATGTTGGTATACTTTTTGGACTTAATGCATTCGTTTCTTGTTATGGGCTCTCGTATATCCACACATTTTCATATGTTGTACACTGACAGAATACAGTCTTTCCCCTTCTGACTTGGTGTTGCTGCTTGCCAGCTATAGATACCAGCATTTATGCCAGAAGACCTAGTCTCTGGACATCTACTTGCTTTTACTTACCTGAGGTGGTCCAGAACCTGGGGTGCGGGTTACTTCTGCAGAGGTTGAATCCTAGCTTAGCCCCCACATTCCTCTTCCAGGACCTATAATTGGATTGCAGTGTAGAGATAGGCAGCTGATGACAGCACCTCACCCAGGCCCCTCTCAACTGTGGTGGTGGAGAATAGTGAACCCTTTTTTGCTCCCTCTGCTCCAGAACATCTGGTTACTGTTTAGGGGCTGCTGGGTGATAACGTGGTCAGTCTGTTGGTGGTTTACTGCTGTGACAGCACCTCCTGTTTGTTCCACCTTTGTCCCATGAAGTGTTTTCTCTACGTTTCAGGGCTGAGGGAGACAGCACGTAAAATTGTCCTCGCTGTCTGGGAATAGCACTTTCCTAGATCTTCTAGGTGCAAATGAAGATAGGAGACTGGCTGCAGTTCCAGGACTGATGATTTTAGGGTCCAGTGTGACAAAGAACTTTCAGTCAGGACTGTCATGGGTTCTTTAATTGGAAGGTAAATAGCAAATATTTAGTGAGCAAGATTTCTTGATACCTGATGCAGAATAACCATGATGTGCATTTACTCCCACTGTAGGAAGACCTGGGAGAAGGCAGATTGCCCAGCCAAGCCCACTTTGGCTCTTGAGCTTATAGTGATTCCAAGAAGGTCAAGATTTTGTGATCAATAAAAGTTTACTGTTCAGAATGGAGTAAAACCTCATTATTCTGTACTAATTAGGGTGTGATGTAGGGTGTAGAAAGAATTTTTGCTTTCATTTTATTTATTTATTTATTTATTTATTTATTTATTTATTTTTGTTACAGATGTTTCTCCTTTTTTTCCCCATTGACACCCTCCTCCACCTTCCTCCCCGCCCTGTCCCCAGCTTTGTTGTCCATGTCCATTGGTCATGCACACATACATGTAAGTTCTGTGGTTTATCTCTCCCCCCAACCCCCTCTTCTGGGGATTGTCAGTCTGGACCCTACTTCCACGTCTCTGGGTCTACCCTGTTCTTCGGACTGTTATGTTCATTATATTCCACAAATAAGTGAGATCATATGATACTTGTCTTTCTCTGTTTGGCTTATTTCACTTAGGATAATACTTTCCAGGTTCCTCCATGTCGTCTCAAAGGATAAGAGCTCTTTCTTTCTTACAGCTGCGTAGTACTCCATTGTGTGTATATACCACAGCTTTTATTATCTATTCATCTACTGATGGACATTTGGGCTGCTTCCAGATCTTAGCTATTGTAAATAGTGCTGCTATGAACATGGGGGTACATATATTCTTTCTGGTTGGTCTTTCAGGCTTCTTAGGGTATATTCCTAGAAGTGGGATCACTGGGTCAAAATGGCAGTTCTATTTTTAATTTTTCGAGGTGACACCATAATGTTTTCCATAGTGGCTGCACCAGTCTGCATTCCCACCAGCAGTGTACTAGAGTCCCCTTTTCTCCACACCCTCACCAACACTTGTTGTTTGATGATTTGTTGATGGCCGCCATTCTGACAGGTGTGAGGTGGTGATACCTCATTGTTGTTTTAATTTGCATCTCTCTGATAATTAGTGATGTTGAGCATTTCTTCATATGTCTCTTAGCTGTTTGTATGTCCTGTTTGGAGAGGTGTCTATTTAGTTACTCTGCCAATTTTTTAGTTGGGTTCTTTGTCTTCCTTTTGTTGAGCTGTATGAGCAATCTATATATTTTGGAAATTAACCCCTTATCTGATGTATCATTGGCTCTCCCATAGAGTGGGTTGGTTGCCTTTTCATTTGGGTGGTGGTTTCTTTTGCTGTGCAGAAGGCTTTTATTATTTTCTAATAGTCGTAAAAAGAAATGAAGGTTAGGTGTCTTGGGAACTTGTTTATTTTATTATTATTGTTGTTGTTATTTTTAATCCTCACCCAAGGATATTTTTTCTGTTTATCTTCAGATAGAGTGGGAGGGAGGGAGGGAGGAAGGGAGGGAGGGGGAGAGGGAGAGGGGGAGAGAGAGAGAGAGAGAGAAACATTGATGTGAGAGAGACACATCGACTGGGCCTCCCGCATGACCCAACCAGTGCCGGGGATGAACTGCAACTGAGGTACGTGCCCCTGGCAGGAATTGAACACATGACTCATTGGTCCATGGTCTGATGCTCTACCGCTGAACCAAACTGGCTAGGGCAGGAATTTGTTTAAATGCCTAGATAAAAATTATAATGGCTAAAATGCTAACAAAACAGTGTTGTTTGTCTTTTCCTTTTCATTATTATTTGTATTTTAATTCTCTGTTGGAGAATTGTTTCAGTATTTATTTGCACAATCTCCAAGCGTTTTCCAAAGTTTTATCCTGTAATAGTCGGAGATTATTAGGGCTTTACCATAGAGAAATGACAGTCATTGGCCGTGAACAGTGTACCAGGCATGAGCTGCCAGGTCAATAATGTGTAACCTTGGAAGATGGGGCTGTGATAGTGATAATAATGCCTAATGTTTATTGAGTCATCACTTATGCCAGGCTGAGTGTTGTATACACATTGTATGATTTCATTTTTTCATCAGTGATTCTAGAAGCAGGCACTAATATTTCCATTTTAGAGCTGAGGACGAACACATTAGGGAGGTAGTAGTAGTAAGTGACAGAGACAGCTGATTCAAGACCTGGCTTGGTACTTTTCTCACTACCCTAGACTATGCTTCAAGTACTGTCAGTATCTAACTGGTACTATATTAATAAATGCACCGTGGAGGTCCAGAATGGTCTTCCGAGTCATCTAAGAATAATAACCCTGTGAAAAGTGTCTATCATTCTGTGGATTCCGCATCTTTAGCCGTGAGCCTTTCCAGGATGCATTGGTCCTTGCTGGATCAATTTTTTGTATCCAGTGTTGACTTAGGAGTTAAAAATTCTTTGTAAAATTTTTCAGTGTGGATGAATAAAAGTCTTTTAGCTTTTGGAAGATTTAAAGAAGCATTTTGAATAGTCAGAGTACAAGCAGTATTGAAGAAAATCTAAAGAAATTATGGGAAAAGCCCTGGCTGGCTTGGCTCAGTGGTTAGAGCATCGGCTTGAGGACCAAAGAATCTCGGGTTTGAGTTCAGTCAAGGGCGTGTACCTGGTTGCAGTTCGGGGTCGTGTGGGAGGTAACCAATCAATGTGTGTGTCTCATGTTGATGTTTCTTTTTCTCTCTCCCCCTCCCACTCTATCTGAAGATAAATGGAAAAATATCCTTGGGTGAGGACTTAAAAAAAAAGAAATGATGGGAAAAAATCAAAAAAAGACTTTTTAAAAAACGAAATAAGGACTGTGGAAATAAGGGGTCCATGTGAGGGGAGTTTTCATACTCTGAAGTAGAGAAACATGAATACAAAACAGCAAATAAACTCTTACATAGTTTGTTTCTCACATTACCATTTCTCATTCTACATTATGCCATTTAATCTTTGCATCAACCATGGGATAGAGAGTCACTGATGCTGAGGTATAGCTGGAGAGTAAAATAAACCTAATTGGTCCCCTAGAAGATAAATAGGTATAAAGAAAAAAAAGTAGAACAGTGTAACATTTCAGGATAATTCATTATTGAAATTTATTTTCTTTGTTTCTGTTTTAAGTAAGTAGTAATAAATGTTAATCTTACCACCTTACCTCTTTGGCTAGACAAGTAGCTTGTTAAAGTTGATAGTGTACATCCTTTGTAACTCTGGCACTCTTCTCTGAAATTCACTCACTCATTCAGCATGTGAATGTTTGTTGAGGGCTTAATATATGCCAGGCATTTTATGCTAGTCACTGAGTGGTCAGGATCACTACTTTGGTGGTGCTTTACAACCTCATGAGTTATAACAGGAAGTTGATAGTATGATTTTAAGACTCATTCATTATGTCCATAGACTATAGAAGAATCCATACTTCTGGCTAATAGAAGGTGTGATAAACTGGTCTGTATGTGCTTTAAAAGAAAAATTTTTATTTTTACCAATACAGATAATATGGGGCTCCAAATGCAATTCAAAGAAAAAATACAAGGTATTATGACAGAAGAGATATTAGAAAACCTGAAGAAAGGTGTGTTTTGTGGATGATTTGTTTAGTTGACACATTTAAAAGTTTTTTCAAATAAAACTTATCAAATGTTATTGGCTGGACAGATTGATTCAGCCACTTACCTGTAAATTTTGATTCTGTAAAATGAAAAAAAAATTTTTTTTTTCCAGAATACCTGAGAGTAGTTCATTCCTTATTTTAAGGTGATATGCTGATTTCTGATGATGATTAATAGAATGGATTTAGAACGTGTGGAATACCTCTTGTCTTTCAGTGTTCAGAAGCGATGGTTACCTGGAAATAAATTTCTGGGTCCAGCCTAGAAGTGAAATGTACCTTGTGATCATGTATGATGAAGACCTGTTTTCCAAGGCCAGCTGAGTTTGATTGTGACTTTCTTCTTCCCAAGCCACTGTTGTAGGCACCCCAGTCTTGTATGAGTGCTATAGAGATTGAGAAGCTAATAGTGTCTTTTCTCTCAAGTCAACTTAATGAAAGGGGCCAACTCTGGGGTTGGCAGCTGGGAAGCTCCAAAAGAGAAAATTCCTGTCTCTAGCTGTGAAAGTGTGTCAGACTTTTTTGCTGTTTGCTGTGTGACAATCTCCCACTAAGGATGAACCCCTAGACAGCAGGATGCCCACGAATCTTGTTCAGCCTCAGCTTTGTGCTCTCCGGTCTCCTGGGCCCCCTGGTGACTTGGCAGGGAGAATCTACCTAGGATTGGAAATGATAGTGCTCAATCTTGAATCGCAGGAATTTCCCGTGATTCAGATTGCTATTGCCCAACCTGGGTGTTGGGACACTTTGGTGTGTAGAAAGCATAGCTGTGTTATGTTGCAACATCCTGGCTTTCCTTCTTCAGTCTCCTTTGTCAATTTTTTAAACTAGAGAATAGGGAAAAGTGGTTACAGTACAATGGTGAAAAGAAGGGTGATGGTGTGGGTATGGATGTGCCTTCCACAAACCCTAGCCAACTTATCTTGTCTTTCTAAAAGCCACACCTGGTATATTTGGTTGTATACATGTTCATATGTGCTTGGACTGGTAGATGAGGACATAAGATAAATTAAAGTTTTTGTGCAAGATAGAAAAAGCTAACCTGTATCTGTGGCACAAAGTGTCCAGCTTTCATTGTGTAACTCTAGGTTACTGTTGTCCCTGTCTCACAGATGAAGGAATTAAGACTCAGAGATTAAATAATTTGTCCAAGGACATGGGGTTTGTTAATTCGGCCGGAATTGGGTTTGAACACGTGTTCTAATTCCAGGTGTTCTTTTCCAATTTCTACACCGGACTAGGGACCCTAATGCGAACACTGCCGTATTTATCTAACTGTTGTTTTGGGTTTACCTAAGTAAAAATGTGTGTGCATGTAGACAAAATCTGGAAGGCAACAAACAAAAATGTTAGTTATGTTCGAGGCTTGTTTGTTTTTACTTATTTCATGTCCTTTTTGTATCTGGAGACTTGTGAATCTTCACATTCAGGACAATACAGTAGCGTAAAAGCTATGGAATGGAAGCTGCAAAACCATGTTGAGACCTTGCCAGCAGCAAGGTCTTTCTCAGAGCTTTCTGGTATATTCAGGAGTCAACTCCTATTGTCCTGTAACTATGAGAAAGCAACTCCAAATTGAGGGACATTCTACAAAACAGCTGGTCTGTACTCTTTAAAAATGTCAGAGCTATGAAAGACAAAATCTGAGAAACCTTTCTATATGAAAGGAGAAAGCAGAAACATGATAACTAAGTGTGCCGCAATCCTGAATTGGGTCTTGGATCAGGAAAATAAATGCGGTAAAGGGCATTATTGGGACAACTGGCTAAATCTGAGTAAGGGCAGTCAATACAGTAAGTATTGTATCAATGTTAAATTTCCTAAAGTTGATAAATGTACTGTACTGTGCTTATGTAAAAGGGTGTTTTTAGGAGATGCAGAGTGAAGTACTTGGGCGGAAAGGATCATACTGTCTGCAGCTTACTCTCACAGGTTCTGCAAAAACAAAGAGTGTGTTTGTGTCTTTGTGTGTATGTGTGTGTGTGTACACCATTCCAGGTCTAATTCCTTATAATCAGGCAGGAAGAAGTACGTATGTGTTAGAAGTAGGTTATTACTAGGCATGTATGTACAGAGAACTTTGGAGCCTGAAAAGAGGGATTGGTCAGTTCTGCCAGGGTAGCCTGAAAAATGTCTTCATAGTTGCTGTGTCTAATCCTAGTGAGGGCTGGGGCTGGGGTTTTCTAGTGAGAGAGTGCATCCAGAAGAAAGATTGCTAATGCATGTGAGAGCTCATTGTTTTTGGCTGGCAGGTAGGGTGCATCAGGAGGTGCTGGAGGAGAGAAGGGCTGAGAAGTAGACAGGGGCCACATCGTGATGGTCTTGTATGTCTTACGAAGGAGTTTGAACTGTGTCCATAGACATGATGTAGATAATCTAGATGCCTTCAGCTGCAAGGTAACATCAAACTCCAGCTAGAATGACTTAAATGATAGGAAATGTATTTTCTCATGTACAAGAAGTCTAACTCTTTCTGGAACTGGTGGAGCAGAAGGCACCATCATGGGAGTTGACATCTGCCACAACAAAAACCAAAACGTTTGGTGCAAGGAGTGTAAGAGCCAGGACATCTACCTAAGGCTGTTGGTCAAGCTATGTAAGTTTCTGGCCAGAAGAACCAACTCTAGCTTCAACCAGGTGGTGGTGAAGAGGTTGTTCATGAGTCATACCAACCAGCTGCCTATCCTTTTCCCAGATGGTCCAGAAGATGAAATTTCCTGGCCAGGAGGGCAAAACCTCTATGGTTGTAGGAACTATAACCAATTATGTGGGTGTCTAGGAGGTGCCCAGGCTGAAGGTGTATGAACTTGGTGTGAGCAGCAGTGCCTGGAGCCGCATTCTCAAGGCCAGGAGCAAGATCCTCACCTTTGACCAGCTGGCCCTGGACTTGCCCAAGGGCTGTGGCATAGTCTTGCTTTCTGCTCCTTGCAAGGACTGAGAAGCATGCAGGTATTTCAGTAAGGTCCCAGGAATCCCTCACAGTCACACCAAACCCTACGTATGATCCAAGGGCCAGAAATTTGAACGCATAAGAGGCTGACAGGCTAGCTGCAGCTACAAAAACTAACCCCAGATCCTCCCTTGTCATTAAAAAGATTTTGGGTGCTAGGGAAAAAAAGTCTGAAGATAGGGAGATTTCAGGGTTGGATAATTCAGCTCAGAGATGGCTTCATGAACCCAGGTGTTTGCTTTTTTTTTTTTTTTTTTTTTGCTGCATTCATCTTTAGTGTGTGAGTGATGTCTCCTAGTTGAAGAGGGTGGCAACAGTTCTGTGATGAAATATAGTGAGAGGGGAATCTCTTTCTTAGCATCCCTTATTAGGAAGGAAAACCTTTTCCAGAATTGTCTTGACCAACTTGCCTTTAATGCCCTTAGCTAGAATTGTGTCACCTGCAAGGGGAAGATGATTGTGGTGGTTGGCTTCTCCAGTTGCACTCCCTCCTGTGGCTAGAAAGGTATTACCCTTCCTGAGAAGAAACTCTGACAGTTAGCAAAAGGGGGTTGTTGTATAAGCAGGTATCAGGGTCTGTCACCATAGAGAAAAAGAATTAATCTGCTATAAGTGAGTGGTGGAAAGAGGAGTGGCTTTGTTAAATTTTTTAAAAAGTCACATGCACACATATCCCCTTCACTACTTCACCAGGACAACTCTTTATTTTTGGCATATTACTTTCCAGCCCCTGCCCATATGCACATACTTTAGTTCTAATCTTACTCTAAGTGCCATTTTGCATACAGTTTTCATTGGCATGTTTTACACACCATATAAACATTTTCCCAGTCTTCATAATGATTCTAATGTATAATGTTTTATTGTATTTTATAGCAATTTATGAAACTTATTATTAGACAATAATAATAAAGGCTAATACTACTACCCACCGTTTAAGTGCTTTCCATTTGTTCATTTAATCCTCACAACAATTCTATTGGGATGTGATGGCTATTGTCACTCCAGTTTCCAGGTAAGAAAGGCACAGAAGGTCTAAGTAATTTACCCAAGGTCACACAGCTGACTAGTGGGGAGCTAGCAGCAGAGCTAAAGTTCTGATAGCTAGAGTCTATAACCATCAGGATAAACTGCCTCTGGATATTGTTATCCCCTTTTTTGATGTTACAGATAATATGGTGATGAACATATTTCTACATATCCTGTCCTTGCACGTGCATGCATAGCCAGGTTGTTGTGGGTTGAAGAATGCATGGTCAGTGAGGGACTACAGACGACATATATAGACCACATGTTAGGGAAATGTTACTTTGAAAGGGCCAGAAAAAAGGAGTTGCTTTAATTTTTTATGTTTGATTACCAGGAAGGATGATCTGTTTTGTTTATTGTTTAATCTTTCTTTGTGATGCTTACCTGCTTTTGTTCTTTGTGCATTTATACTTGGGAGTCAGGGTGCTTCTCATACTTATGTATGATTGACATTAACCCCTTTCATATGATACAAGTATTAAGCTGTTTTATTTTCTTTAAACTATTTTTTGTTTCTATGTATGTCTTTATTATTTTCTACAGCTTCAGCATTTTGAGAAATTTCATTCTGTTAAAGGCTAATTTTTGTTAATTTACCTTTTAAATATGTAATTACTTGGGGTTAGGCTTTACTTTTTTTTTTTATCCTCACCTGAGGACATTTTTCCATTTTTTTGTTCAGATAGAGAGAGAGGGAGAGGGTGAGAGAGAGAGAAAGAGAGAGAGAGAAACATCAACGTGAAAGGGATACATCGAGTGGCTGCCACCCGCACCACCCAACCAGGGCCAGGGGCAAACTGCAACCGAGGTACATGCCCTTAGCAGGAACCGAACTCGGGTCTCTCCAGACCGCAGGCCAACGCTCTAACCGCTGGGCCAAACTGGCCAGGGCTAATTTTTAAAATTGCTATTTATCTAACCTGATGCACAGTTGCTTTTTACACAATACATTTTTAAAAGCTTTTTTACCTTATAATTGTGTGTGTGTGTGTGTGTGTGTGTGTGTGTTTAACTCCCCATTGTTTTCCTTTAATTTGTGTATCTGTGTTTGTCCCCATACCACACAATTTGAATGTTCTTTGAAAATATATAATCATCCCTGGCCAGTTTGGCTCAGCAGTTGAGCGTCGGCCTGCGGACCAGAGAGTCCTGGGTTTGGTTCTCGCTAGGGGCACGTGCTACCAAAAAAGAAAAAAGGAAGAAAGAAAATACGTGATTGAATCAAACAGGGCTGGCCCTTTTCTCATCCGTTTAACTTCTTCTTTTTCAGATTTTGAAAAGTATTTTTTCATGTTTTATTTTCCCAATGAACTTTCAAATCATTTTGACATTACTCTTTAAGACGTACTAGTGTTCTGTGTTACATATGCCTCTTTAGGTTAAGATTGTAGTAGTATATGACAGTTGGAGAGCTATTATGGTTACTTAGTTTCTCATTTCCATTTCTGTTTAATTTCTAGATTTTGGACCATTGTTTGACTTGGAAAATGATCTTCCCGATGAGCTGATCCCCAATGGAGAATTAGGCCTTTTAAACAGTGGGAACCTTGTTCCAGATGCTGCTTCCAAACATAAACAATTGTCAGAGCTTCTGCGCGGAGGCAGCGGCTCTAGTATCAACCCAGGAATAGGAAATGTGAGCGCCAGCAGCCCTGTGCAGCAAGGCCTCGGTGGCCAGGCTCAAGGGCAGCCGAACAATGCGAATATGGCCAATCTGGGTACCATGGGCAAGAGTCCTCTGAACCAGGGAGATTCTTCAGCCCCCAGCCTGCCAAAGCAGGCAGCCAGCACCTCTGGGCCCACTCCCCCTGCTTCCCAACCACTGAATCCGCAAGCACAAAAGCAGGTGGGGCTGGTAACCAGCAGCCCTGCTACATCGCAGACAGGACCTGGGATCTGCATGAATGCTAACTTTAACCAGGCCCACCCAGGCCTCCTCAATAGTAACTCTGGTCATAGTTTATTGAACCAGGCCCAGCAGGGGCAGGCGCAAGTCATGAATGGATCTCTTGGGGCTGCTGGCAGAGGAAGGGGAGCTGGAATACCGTACCCTGCTCCAGCCATGCAGGGGGCCACAAGCAGTGTGCTGGCTGAGACGTTAACACAGGTTTCGCCACAAATTCCCAGTCACGCGGGACTGAACACAGCACAGTCAGGAGGCATGACCAAGGTAAGTGAGCATCAATGCTTTGAATGCTTCCTACTAACTGGGGGCTTCTCCCTCCAAGTAACATGGTAAAATGGGGTGACGTGCACCTTCCTGTCCTCCTTCAGGCTTTCTTTTCTTGCCCATCCCACTTGGAAGAGACAGATTTGGTATCTGGAGTCATTCTTTACAGGATAAAGATCTCTGCCCCATGTATTTAAAATGGGAATTCTTAAAGAAAACAAACGTAGAATAGCATGCACACCAGGCAGTTGAAAACATAGGGAATGTGTTTGGACTGATTGCTAGTTTTCAACCTCTGAGGAAAATGTGTGGAAATAGGACCACATGGTTGAAAGAGGCAGCTTCTGTTGAGAATCAGTTTGTTGGATCAGTGAATCTTGTAAAGGCTGCTTTACCCAGCTGGCCTACTTCTTACTTTTATATACCCTTTCCTTTTTACAGCCACCCTTAGGTAAAGTGTCTGTGGCCACAGTGTCCATTTTACCAACGAAAAAGTTGTATTCTAAGCTGGTCAGTTACTTGCCATGGTTAACAGAGAAGAGGTGCCAGAGTCATTGGGCAGTGTAGGTCCTTGGGTCCCAGAGGAAACTTAGAGCAGTGCTTCTCAAAGTGGGGTCCTCATCAACATCACCCAAGAGCCTGTTAGAAGTATAGAGCTGCTGACTCAGAAACTGAAGGTGGACCCAGCACTCCAGGTGGTTGTGAAGCCTGAGCAAGGTTGAGAGCTCTGCTGTAGGGAAAGGGCTAGGCTGGAGTTTATAGCCACCAGCCTTGTAATTGGTGTGGAAAGTAGGAACCACACTTGGAGAACAGGGAAGCAAATGCTCAGGTAGTTATGAGACAACTGGAAAAGATTGGAGTTGACAAGGGAAGAAGAGTGCAGTCCTGCATTCCACTGAAGAACAAATGCTGACAGAAGCTCTTAGACAAAGGCTTCTAAACTACAGCCACCAGGGCATCTACTTCAAGCAGTATTTGGTGCAGCAAATTTCAGAATAGAAAAATGGTTTGGGCTGTTCTTTGGATTTCATTTGTCCCATATAAGGAAGAGAGAGAAATTAGAATAGAACATAATTTCCCCCCAAGGTTTGATTTTGAGCATTAGGTGACAGATATGACTGTCTTAGGTATGGAGCAGATTTTTTTTTAAACTTAAGAAACAAAAATGAAGTACTTCCCTATACTGAAATTGCATTTATCTCTTTTGAAACATGCAAAGAAGAATGTGAACTTAAATTTTAGTTGTCCCTGGCATTTGAAGAGTAGGGGTTCATGTATGCACATGTCTTTTAGAGTTGGATTGACAGGATTTCTGATGGTTTTAAGATTCTTGGCTAGATTGGTGTTTGTTCCTTCTTCATTCACTAATCATTCCAATTCATACTACCCAGTTATAAAAAACTTTTTATTTTGGAGAATTTAAATCTTATACAAAAGTAAACATAATAGCATGATGCAAAACTTCTCGATCTTTTTGGTCTTAGGATTCCTGGATAATCTTTAAAATTATTGTGGGCCCAAATGAGATTTTTTAAAAATGTGGATTATTTCTATCAATATTTGCCACACTGGATACTAAAACAAACTTTTAAAACACAAGTACACATTACATTAGCCATTAAGCACAGTGACACCACATGTCACAGAGCCTCTGGGAGACAACTCTGTGTTCTTATGAGAGAAGGCAGGTGAAAAAGCAAAGACTGTCTTAGTATTTCATGAAAATAGTTTTGGCCCTTGATCATACTTGGAGAGCCATTGATAATATGTATTCCTAAAAGTTAGACTTGCCATACCCAAACATTAGTGCCATTCTCACATGTAAATGCATGAACAATTTTTTCACGTTGTCAAATGTCCACTAAATATTCAAATTCCCAGTGGTCTCCTTTGTTATAATTATTTTTTTCAGATTATTTTTCAAGATCTGAAAAACCCATATTTCAGATAGGGCTCTTAAAAATCTGTTAATCTCTAAGATCCTTAAAGTTTATTTGTTGAAGCATCTGGTGATTTTGCTTGCTATTTGTTTTTTGTTCTGGGGAGTTTCCTGTAGTCTGGGTTTTGCTGATTTCACCTCTATCACTTAATGTTCTTCTGTCTACCCAGGATTTTTATTCTGTCCAGGGGTTCTTTTCCTTGTACAGAGTGACCTTTCTTTCAAACAACTGTTTGTAAGTATTTACTATGTGGAAAGTAAACTACATTAGTGTTGTGAGGGTAGTCATCTCTATTGCCTATAGGTGCCCCAAGAGGCCCATGGTGAAGGAGAGGCAGGGACTGGCATTTGGAAAGATTGTCATGGCCTTTGAGTGGTGGGCAAATGGTAAGAGCAAGAGGCAAGTTCATTTTCAGCCATTCTTCTCTCTAACAGAATGGTATCAGAACCAAGATTTTAAAATGCACACAGAAAAAAAAAAACATTTTTAAAAGATAATTTTGTTTTAAAGATTTATTACACAGGAATTTCATATTTTCTATAAAATAATTCAAATAATAAAAGGAGCAGCCCCTCACACCTTATAGATAACTACTTCTATATAGATACATTTATTAACACACACCCCTTTTGAATACCAAATGAAACCCAACTATATAAGGATCTTGCTGTTTTGCCTAACAGCATACATATAACATACATACACATAACCACTTGTCAGTGTACACAAATTTTTGTTTCCTACTGATAGCAAAGTATTTCATTATATGATGCACCATAATTTGTTTATCTACTCGTCTGTGGACTCTTTTCAACTTTTCATTAGTTCAAACGATGCTACAATGAATGTATCCTTGTCTAGCCATATCCACATGCATCATGGGGTAGATAAATTTGAAAAGCAAGGTGAACTAACCTAGTTAGATATCTCTCCTAAACATAAAGAGTAGTATAGTATAACCAGTCTCCCCCTTTTTCCTTTTCTACCTCCCCCCTTTCTTTCTTTGTCTTTGTGTGTGTATACATGTACCTCCTTCCTACCATTTAACGATGTAAGGTGGAAGTTACTCCATGTTAGATGGAGCTTTCAGTTCTTCTTACTAGATAATAATCCAGTAGTAGTTTCTGTTTTGAGTATATCATAATTTATAGGACTAGTGCCCCATTGGCTAGACATTTCGGTTGTTTCCAGTGTTTTGCTGTTTTGACAGTTTTGATCTGTATTTACATATTTGTACATCAGAGTGACTCTAACTGCTGGATAAATTCTTCCGAATAAAATTTCTGGATTAAAGGATATTGACATTTTTAACATTATTATCATTATTATTATTATCATCGTCATCCTTATCCGAGGACATTTTTGCATTTATCTTCAGATAGAGTGGGAGGGAGAGAGGGAGGAAGAGAGAGAGAGAAACATCGATGTGAGAGAGACACATCGAGTGGTTGCCACCCACATGACCCTAACCGGGGCCAGGGACAAACAGAAACCGAGTACATGCCCTGAGCGGGGACCAAACCTGAGACTCTCTGGTCCGCGGTCTGATGCTCTAACCGCTGAGCCAAACCAGCCAGGGTGGATATTGACATTTTTAATAAGCATAGATATTGCCAGATACTCCAAAAACATTGCAAATTATACCCTCACCAGCACCAAATGAATCCCTGTCCCCCCAATTCTCACCAACACTGATGTCACTCTTTATTGATTTGCCATTCTGCTAGGCATATAGTCTAAGTAAAATATCTCTTTGTAAATTCATGGGCATTTGTAGTTTGCTGTTGATTACATTGTTTTTCTGATACATTGTTTCCCTTTTTTGTTGGTTTAGATTCTTAATTTTTTTTTTCTTTTTTTTTAATCCTCACCCGAGGACATTTTCCCATTTTTTGTTCAGATGGAGTGGGAGGGAGAGAGAGAGGAAGAGAAGGAGAGAGAAACATCGACGTGAAAGGGACACATCAAGTGGCTGCCACCCACACGACCAACCAGGACCGGGGACAAACTGCAACCGAGGTACACGCCCTGGTCTCTCTGGACCGCAGGTCAGCACTCTAACCGCTGAGCCAAACTGGCCAGGGCTCTTAATATTTTTTGTATAGTAAATGTTTATTTCTTTTAATAAATGCAAATTCTCCCTCCTTTTTTTATTTGCTAAAGTCTGTTTTACTAGGAATATGGCCACACAACTTTATAAGGGGATATTTTGTGATAGATGTATTTTTACCAAATAGATGTTTTCAGTTTTTATAAAATAAATATATCCATTTTTTTCTTTAGTGGCTTTTAAGTTTTATGTCATGTTTTAAAATGTTTTCTCTATTATAGAATTAAGAAATATTATTGTGTATTTTTTCCCTTATATGTTGGATCTTTAACTGAGAATTTACTTTGGCTTGAGTTATAAAGGTCTAGCTATATAATTTTTTTCTAAATTATAGTCATCCCAGTATTATTTATTTAGATATTGCTAATCCAGCTTTTTTCCTACTAATATGATGCACCATTTTTGGTGTGTTTTATTTAGTTTTTACATAAGGTTTGAGTCGAATTCTGGACTCTTTCTTTGTTTCATTAATCTTTGCTTATTCTGTGCCAGAAATTTATTATCATACCTGTGTAATGAGTTTAATATATAATGGAGCTAGTTGCTCTTTATTCTTTTTCAAGAATTCAATATTTTCTTTACTATTTATGTATAGTTCTCAACCCTGTCTATATATCAGAATTACTTGCACATCAAAATGCGATGGCCTGAACCACTGCAGACCAATTAAGTTAGAATCTCTGAGGTATGGCATGGACATTAATATAGTTCGTAGTTCCTCATGATTTTTATGGCAGCCATGGCTGAGAACTGCTGTTTCAGATAAACTTTAAGACTGTTTTTCAAATCCTTAAAAACAAACAAATAAATAAAATTCATAGGATTTGATTGGGATTGTATTGAACTTTATAAATTACTTAAGGAGGAATTTGACATTTTAGCAATTTTATGGCTTCCTGAGTTGTCGTGTCGTATATATGCAAGTTGTCTTTCATTGGAGTCTTAAGTTG